CGTCGGGTACCCGTCCGGTGCTATGGAAAAGGGGGGCTTGTGGGGGGGCTGACATGGATTGTCTACCTATCCGGTCCCACTGTTGGTCCTCCCTAGTCCGTTTGTGTGAGGGCTGCGGTTGGTGCGTCGGTTCGGTCTGCTCGGATCTCGATGCCGGTATGCCGAGTTCGATGCGTCTGATGCTCTCCGCAATCCGACGGCTGTCGTCGAAATGGCGGGTCAGACAGTCCTCGAGAATCGACAACCGTGTTTCGAGTGACGGTTGTTTCGAACTATCACGTGCGGATTGACGAATTGCTTTTATTTGTTCGTGTGCGGTCTGAATGGTGTCAGTCGCATACGAACTCGCGTTAAAGTCGAGTAAGTTCGAGTGTGAGGTGCCCGGGTCGCTTTGAGCTACGGGGTTGTGGTGTCCTTGCGGATTACCGACCGCCCTTCTTTCGCTCAGCGCAAGGTCCTGGGTGCCTTGCTCGTCATCACTTAGTGCCTCGGTCGCACTCGACGATTTTATTGAAAATCGGATACGACCGGGCTCGACGTTTTGCGACAAAAAAAATTCGTTTAATCGCGTTTCCAAGTCCGCCTTGGTGCCAGTGGAGGATAGCCCGCGCGTCTCACATTCGTAACGCAGTTCCTTCAACGTCATTTGATTCAACGCTTTTCCCGACATAGTGTAGTGTAGCGGAAAAAGTCGTTACTCGGAAAGGTTTCGAAGTGTTAATACGTGCGCGAGCGTATCGTGTATTGTGTACGTGTGAGTGTGTGTGCGTGTTTGATTCTTTTTCCTATTAACCTACGTCAGTGGCGTGGCGAACTACTTTTTGACCAGGGGCCAAATACAGAATACCTACCCACCCACCCACCTCAAATTAATATTTACACCTAAATTCGAATGCCAAGGGTGATTTTATATTATATATAAAAAAAACATTTTTATACGTCATGTACAGTATTAAAATATAACAGTAATGTTTAAAATTTAATATAATATATTACATTTATCCATACATAAAATGTTTGACAAATAATATTTAATTATTTAAAAAGTAATGACTTCTTCATTAAATCACTTGTTAATGCTAACTTATCTATTGCTTCATCAATGTTAATAGAATTGGTCAAATCTTTTTCACATGATATCAAAATAAGACTTTCTAACCTACTTTGTGCCATTGTTGACCGGAGTCTAGTTTTAATAAGTTTGAGTTTTGAAAATGACCGTTCACAAGAAACGGAAGTTGTTGGAATGGTACACAAATGTTTATATAGAAGGTATAAATTCGGGAAAGCTGTAATTAAGTCAAATGAATTAAGTAGTTGGAGCAATTGGAGTGGTGTTGTTTTCTTAGAACGGTTTATGTTGGTGTCTTGACTTTCATTTTCATGATTTTCATCAGAATCATCTTCATATTCATTATTGTTGATAAAATTAATGTCATCAGTGTAATTGTGAACTTTATCTGGGTTAATTTGAGATTGAAATTCTAAAAAACTTTTAGAAAATACAGTATATTCAATGCGTAGTGCATCTTGATTAATCTGAGGAATCCATATTTTCAAAGAATTAAACATATCGTCAGGACATGGTTTTCCTTGATTGGCATTCATTAATCTATCATGTGTTAAAAAAGACAAGTCTTTAAGAATATCGTTTGATTTTTCAAATCGTGTTGTTATTGACATTATTATTTTATCAATGACTAGAAAATATACTTTAGATTTGAAATTATCTACTGGATTTGAAATTATTTCATCTTCAGAGATTTCATCAAACATTCTTTTTCGTTTTCTAAGCCTTATTTCAGGAAGTTGTGTTTCGTCAAGTTCATTATCGATTGCAAATTGTTTAGCATTTTGTAATACTTCATGTGCTCCTTCAGTTGTTCGTAAGTTGGTTAGTTGCTGTTTTACAGAATCGACCATGACTAAGGCTTGCATAAAATCAATCGCTGGAGATTGGAGGTATTTAGATAATGGTGTTGTAATCTCAAAAATTGTTTTCGTTAAAAACATTATCGACACAAATGAGAAAGATGTAATATTTTTGAATAAAGTGGTTGCTAATGAGCCTGTTGATCGGTCGCTTATATTTGAGAGGTCTTCTAATGTATTCAAAATGGCTTTGTACTTTTCAAAAACCACTTCTATTACCACTTCTATGTGATGTCCATCGAGTGGTAGAAAAGTTTTTCATTCGACGAGCACGCTCATGTGGGTATAATGTTTTTTGGTGTTCCATAAATAATGCTGTTCTTTTACGTGCTGCCATAAACTCTTTTAATGATTGAATATAACCAAAAAAGTTTCTAGTTTCTGTACAAGAATCACATGTGTCAACAATTGTTAAATTCAGAGTATGAGCAAAGCACCATATATATACTGCTCGAGGATTGTGCTCTTGAATTAATGTTCTAAGTCCTGAGTATTGCCCTTGCATAACAGCAGCACCATCGTACGATTGAGCACATAATTGATTTTTCCAGTCCAAGCCATATTTTTCACAAATATCACAAAATAAGTTAAACATTCCTTTTCCGGTTGAGTCAGTTGCTATTTTTAAAGCAACTAACCTCTCTTCTACCATCCCTTGATCATTAACAAAACGCAATACTAATGAAAATTGTTCCAAGTTGGATATATCCGTGGTTGTATCTATCATAATAGAAAATACTTGAGCACTTTTAACACTTTTTAAAATTTTTGAACGAATCAGCTCACCAAGAATACAAATCATTGTATTTTGACTTACATTCGATAAAAATGTCAGACGATTGTGGTTTTTTGAATCTTCAATTTTTCTAAGATGACATGAGAGCAACGCATGGTGTTTTGACAATAGTTTTAACATCTCTAGAAAATTTCCCTTATTTAAAGAAGTTAAACTCTCATCATGCCCTCGAAATGGTATATTTTGCCGAGCAAGATAAATTATAGTTTCAAATATAATTTTAACAACTTCTCTGTTTTCGGCAACATAAGCGTTAGATGATTCTAAAATCAGTCCAACGTCTACCCGTTGATTTGAATTATACATAGATTTTCTTAAAACCGCTTGTAAATGATCAGATGACGTTTCATGGCATAAAATTCTTCTAGAAATATGTTTCCAATCATTTATTCCATCTTTAGCTAAAGGATTTTTCTTAGCTGTTGATGTTCCAAATAGTTTACATGCAATACAATACACTTTATCAACGGATGGAGAATATGACATCCACATACGTTTAACCAGTGATCCATATTGAAGTTTCTTGAAGTAGTGCTCATAATGAAATGATCTCAGTCTTTCTCCTTGCATTCTTTTTGGGAATTGTT